AATGTCCGGTCGAGTGATAGTGAGATATTGAAGTTTCCCAACTATCACTCGACAATCTTCCAGATTATTAAGAATATGACCTACCAGTTTTGTTAACTGTGGATATGAAGCCATGGGCGTGGACACTAGTTTGGCATTGACCATTTTTGCATGATCAAGGATATCAAGAATGTATTTGCGTTGATTCATAAAGATCCCAGTGTCACGAGAAAGTAGCTCAATGTCGAGAAAGTATGATGCAGGCCAAGATCTTTTAATGAAAATCGTTGGGCAAGTTGAACATGAAAATCCAAAATGGCATTATTATTCAGTCCAGTGATGATGATATCATCAACGTACACAAGTAAATAGATGGGGCTCAGTGTATGATGAAGAATGAAAAGCGAAGCATCGGAGACAGAGTTCACAAAACTAGCTTGTAAAAGATAAGATTTAAGCTCCATATACCATGCCCTAGGCGCCTGTTTATGTCCATATAGTGACCTGCGTAATTTACAAACAAAGGATGGATTATGAGAGCAAAGAAACCCTGATGGCTGCGTCATGTATACTGTTTCATGGAGAGTCCCCTGCAAAAAAGCAATATTAATGTCAAACTGCTTGAGAGACCACCCATTACTGACGGGAAGGACAAGACTCACTTGTATAGTAGCCGGTTTGACAACCGGACTAAAGGTAGCAGTGTAATCAAGCATGGGACGTTGTTGAAAGCCCTTCGCCACAAGCCGGTCTTTATACATGTCAATAGTACCGTCAGGTTTATACTTAGTACGGAAAACCCATTTGCAATGGATTAAATTATATGTTGGGTCTGGAGGAATAAGATCCCATGTATGATTACACCGGAGAGCCTCAAATTCTTCCTGCATAGCACGTCTCCAACATGGATCCTGCATGGCCTGTTTGACAGTGGTAGGTTTACCATGAGTTGACAGAACTGTAGCAAGAAGATTAAGTCATTGGACGGGTTTATAAATGTTAGCTTTGGAACGTGTGGTCATAGGATGATGAGAAGGTGGAGTGAGAGACTTACGCGAGGATGTAGAAGAAGAAGAAGATCAATCAAGCGGGTCTGGTGAGGGAGGATCTAGAGGATCAGTACATAGGGATGAGAGGGAACTTGTATGTGAAGTTGAGGGTGAGGATAGAAGAGATAAAGAAATGGAATTCCATATGTCAACGAGAGGTATAAACTCAATGAGTAATGGGGTCAAGACAGTAGTAGGCACTTTGAGTGGGTAAATATCCAACAAAGACACACAGGGTGGATTTGGACTCCATTTTATGTGTGGTATAGGGACAAAGCCACGGATAGCAAAGGCAACCAAAACTTCGTAATTTGGTGTAGTTAGGAGGAGTTTGAAAGAGATCGGTGTATGGAGTTTTATAAATGAGAATTGGGGTGGGGAGACGGTTAATGAGGTAGACTGCTGTGGAAAAGGCAAATGGCCATAACTTGGTAGGCATAGAAGCATGGGTAAGAAGAGCAAGACTGGTCTCAACAATATGTCTATGGCATCACTCAGAGAGACCATTATGTTGTGGAGTATGGGGAGGGGAGGTAAGATGTGAAATACCATGTGAAGTAAGATATGGTTTCATTGATTGATACACCCACGTTATCTGAGTAAAATATTTTTATTTTGGTATTAAAGAAGCGTTCCACGAGTTTGTGAAAGCGTGTAAACACAAGGATGGAATCGGACTTACGCTTGAGGGGATAAAACCAAATGTACTTAGTGTGATGATCAACAAAGATAATTTAATATTTATAATCGTCCACAGAAAGTACTGGACATGTCCATAGATCAGAATATATTATTTCCCAAGGATAAGTGGATTTTATTGTGGAAATATGAAATGGTAATTTATGACTCTTATTACAATGACAAGCATGACAATTTAAATTATAAGTACTAGGGATGGTAACTCCATGAACACTACTGAGTCGACGCATGACCAGTATGGCAAGATGTCCAAGAGAATGATGGGGCTCAGTGATGGAGGAACAAAGATTGGAGTAAACAACTGGAGGAGCAAGCTGGAAGGGAGGCCACTCATATACACCATTGTTAGTTGCGCCTTTGAGAAGATGAGCTCCCGTGGTCAGATCCTTCACAAGAAAGTAACTATGTAAGAATGCAACGAAAATATTATTATCACGACATAACTGAGAAATCGACACAATGTTACGTTTGATGTGTGGAGTATGTAAAACAGTATTAAAGGAAAGAGGATGAGAGTGTGTAGGAAAAATGGCAGAACCAGTGTAGGAAATAGGTAAACCAGAGCCATCACCGATGATAATTTCATCAGTTCCATCATATGGTTTATGGAGAGAGAGATTGTCAAGATCAGATGTCACATGATGAGAAGCACCACTGTCGAGAAACCAAGAGGATTGCGGAGGACAAGTTACTGTGGTTGGATGAGCTTGAGGCAGAGATGTAGTCCGCGATGGAGGGGCGGATTGATAGATGGATGTTGTTGCTGAAACACAGTGCAATAGGAGATGTTGTGTTCCTGAACGTGGCACCATTGACAACGGCCAAGATAAGGTTTAGATGGGCGTTTGTTAGACAATCCAGATGTGGAACCTTTGATGGGATCAGAATTCTAATGTGACCGTGAGGGCTAAGAGGCACCTGGATGAGAATGCTTGGTCCTGAAATTGGTAACATGAGCAGTGGCTGGAAACATGAGCGCAGTCGAAGAAGATTGTTTGGCCTGGAGTTCTAATTCTTTATCAAGAATTTTCTCATGAAGTTCATCAAAGGTGATAGGAATGTCCCTACCGTTGACAACACCAATCACACTTTGGTAATTGTTGTCCAGACCATCAAGAATTTGTTCAACGAAGTCTTCAATATCCATAGGTTTTCCAAGCAAAGTTAACTGATCAACACATGTCTTCATCGTTCGAAGATACCGAGTGATAGACTGAGAGCCCTTGGTGGTATGTTTGAGGTGACATTTGATTTGTTTAATATGTCCTCGTGTGGGGCGAGCGAACAGATGAGCAAGAATATCTCATGCGTCTTTTCAAATGTAGCTGCCTAAGAGATGAGCGGAGTGATGGTGGGATCAAGTGTACCGGCAATAGTGCCAAATAAAAGCTTGTCATGTCGTTTCCGGTGCTCATGCGCAGGATTGGGTGCAGTAACATTATTAGTGGTAATGGTAGAAGGAGGGGAGACCTGTATGCCATCAATGTATGCTGAAAGACCATAGCCAACAAGTAGGACTTCAAGCTGAATTTTACAGGGCATTAGTGAAATTGATAATAGTAAGAGAAGTCCCATTATCACCAACTGAGGGGAAAAGTGATGGCAGTAGAGGTCGACATATGAAGAAGAAGTATGGATCGGAAAAAAATCACAGATGGCTATGATACCATAAAGAATTGAAAGAAGTGATGAAACTTACATTTCATAGGACACATACTATGGCTTAAATATACAAGAGATATACATGATATAGTTGGAGATGAGGATAAGGAAGAGAATCAGTAGCTAACCGACTAACAAATTTTGTGTATATCTACATGACTAAGTGTACACTATAATACGTACATAATAAATAATGTATATGTAATATAATTATTATTTTAATATTTTTTTACTGTGGAAGCCCTAGTCGAATTGAGCTTAGCCAATTTTTATGTAGAACCCCTAATTTTCTAATGTAGCTATAAATGTAGCTACTTGTATAGCATTTTATTTTAAGAGTAATCAATAGTCTAATTTGGGCGCGGTAATGATCGCAACTGCCATTCAAATGCTTTTGATAGTGATACAAGAAGCATATCGTCATGCTCAACTGATAATCACAAAACCCGTTTAACCCGATGACCCAATTTGGCATGGACCTGATTCTGAATGGACCAAACCCAACTGCTACTATAAATCCGCAACATAATATTACTCTAATTGTAAATAATGTCATACATACCATTATAATATTAAAGACTCAAGTGGCTTACAAACACTCATGATAGTAAAAATGTAATTCAAAAATAGGATCTTTATTCTGAATTCTGATAAGATTCATGCACTTAAAATAGGCATGAGTTATTTAAAAGTATTGGTGAATGTCTACATTTTAATCATTTATCTTCAAATAATGTGATAAAATTTTAACATTTTTTATTATTTTTTATTATGAAATAAATTTCCTTTAATTTCCCAATTCTTAGACTTTAATTTACCAATACTATTATCTAGAGCACTTACATTATAAAATCTAAGTTTTTTTCTCATTGTGTTAGTTTAGAGTGGTAGATTTAAATGTCATGCATGTGAAAACTTTTTTTCGTTTTATTAATTTTTTATTGTGAAAATATTTTTTTTTTAAATAAAAAATAGGCAGATGCCTACACTAGCGGGAAAAAATCACCTCCTAGATTTTAAATCTTGGATCCACCCTGTTGGTCTCTTCTAGTATGAATTAATTTCTTTATAATAACTGCAATTAAAATAAGTTATCTTCTTCCTAAAAAATGAGGATTTTAATACTACGTACTTGGTATTATCTTCATATGATGTCATCCAAAATTTCCCGTCAAAATACAGTTATTATCCTTGTTCTCTATAGAATTAAAAAACACCTTTTTTAACTTTTTTGTTCTCAAACGAAGGATTTAGGGTAGTAAGGTAATTTTACTCCCTCTATTTCAAAGCCAGGGATACGTAAACCTGGATTTGTTAACATGGATTTATAATCATGGGAACATAAACAAGTTATTGAGCCATTTCACTATCTTTAAGTCATGTACTTTTCCCTTCACTTAAAAAATACGGCCTCTGGTAGGAGCACAATCGTCACTGTTTTTGTTCAATCACAAGACAAATGCATTTCTTGCGTGATCCAATCATCCAAATGCAACTGATTCTACAACATCGGACAGTCCAAAATCCTTGAGTGGTGTTTTTTTTTAATATCATTCCCGCCACATAAATGAGCTCCAAAAAAACAAAAACAAAAAATTAAACAAATTCCACACCATATCAAAACGGTTGGCCCTCAAAACTGAAGATTAGTTCAAAATACAGTTGTGTTCTGAAAAAAACTATGCTCAATCTCAAAACCAAGAAAAACACCATATTCGATAGAATAAGAAGGGATTGCAACAAAACCATATATTGTAAAAAGTTCACACGAGCTTTCAAGTGTAAGAATGTCAATTCCATCCATCTAACTACACTACATGTATATCTCAATAATGGGGAACGCCACGGGTTAGATACAATGATAGTGAAAGCCAATCTTATATCTCACCGGTCTGCAAGATGAGAAGCAATTATGAAATCCCCTGCAGACCCCTTCAACAAATGCAGAACAAGCAGCAATTATGAGATATACATTTTTGCTAAAATCAAGACCCCCAATACTTGAGAATACTGAACTTACATTAAAGGAGGTGTGGAGAGCACTTTCCTACGTTTGTAGGTCACAATCTCCTTCGGTGGTTTACGTGGAGCACTATCACTTGCATGCCCTAAAGAAGATTTCTTATTGACATCATTTTGGAGTCCCCCCTCCATACCCTCATTTCCCGAGTATAATCTGTTTTCCTTCTCGCCAATTAAATCTTGGTTCCCATTTCTTACACCAAACCCTGTTATTTTGGAGTATGGCGAATCTGTGCACAGCAGATTTTCCGTTGCATCTGTCCTAGGGTCAATGGATGTCTCATCACCAGAAATAAACTGGGAATCTAAATTACCTTCTGTTGTGGGTCTTGTGGTTTGTTCGAGAGAAGGGATCAACTCAACCATGTTATGATTGTCACCAGAAGTGGGTCCTACGGTTCGCTCCTGTACTTGTGAAGACAACTGCATCTTCACCCATACAGCTAGAGACAGTGCATGATCACGGATCAGAGAATCATAAGGTGGGCAGTGCATCATTTTAAACAATGCCTGCTTGTACTGAAACATACTGACAGATGATGATGCAACGGGTCCACCACCACGAAGATATCTAATGCTTTTGAAAACGTGCTCACACAAGTTACCGGCTTTTGAAGATTCACAATCACAGAGTGCATATTCCAAGGAAGATGGGTTTCTTACGACACAGAAAGTGGTCTGATCTCCCTGGTAAACGATTTTCACATCGCCTCCGTCAATTGCCACATTACTGTCAGGGATTAGCAAAGATTTTTGCCAGGCTGTCAAACCAGTCGTCCATTCATCCTTCCAATAGCGTGAGAAGTCATCCTTGCAAGAGTACTCGTCCAGCCAGAAGTATGAATGTACTTTGGTACCCAGCTTATCTGCAAGCCAATCTGCACGCTCATACACGCTTGAAGCCCTCTCGTTCAACACCCGGAGCTTCATTTGGTTGTGGTAAAACTCCAGTGCTGCGCAAGTTTCCAGTCCGGCGAGAGGAAGTGCTCTGAGTGCATTAATCCATAGCCCTTGTGTCAAACAACGATTTGTCAGGAGTTGATGAATGTGTAGATCAATTTAAATGAGTATGAGGTGCAAATGTTGAGCACTATGCTGCAGATTGGAATCAAATAGATTGGAATTGTTCTATCTTAAACCAAATAAACAGATGATTGAAATATTATATGAACACACATTGCATTAATGTTTTAATTTTTATAAAATAATAAACTTCATACATATTATTCCTCCAACTGCTCCAAGACATCCCCATCTAAACCCACTCCTCCATCCAATAAATATATAGGTACCCAAGGTCAGCCTAGCACCTTAGGCAGAGATTACTACAACGATGTCCAATTGTCATTTGTGGGTTTTATACTTTTATCTTATCAGGTAAATTCAGAGTACAGGTTATGCTATGGATGCCTTCTTAGGCCATACATACCAAAATGTCAAGGACATGTCCCTGGCTTGGACATAGGTTGTTCAAAGAAATACCTATACGAGGAGTAGGCCAGTTTCCCAAGCATAGTGGCTGAAGAGAAAACCGAGCACAGCAGGCTAAAGTAATGAAAATGTAGAAAAGAGAAAGTAGCTTGTAAAAAGTAAAAAAAAAAAAGGCAAGGATAATAAAAGTGAGGGTTTATTTTGGCAGAAAACAAATTTTATTAAATTTATAAATAATAAAACTTCCCAAAAACGAATGTGGACAGTTAACAGGTAAAATGTACATGTTGAACTCATCCAAAAATGTCAGTTAAAAAAGAATGGAGTATATTTTAAAAACAAATATAGTTTGTTTGGGCTAGCTGTGGCCCATGAATGTTTTTCAACTTATCTATTTCTGGATCCAAACTTTTTTCACATTGAATATTAATCCTTTATTTAAAAAGTCTAAGTCAACCAGATATTAAAATCAGAGTTGTTCTGTTTGCATTCTTCCAACTCAACTCGTTTGGGTTGGATCGAGCAAAACAAATCGTCCTGTTGGGTGGGATGGGTGTTACACTCGCAGTTTTTCCGTCTTCCTTAGCCGAGGTGACCAAATCCTTAGCAACCAAACGAGCGTGGTCTATAATCCACTGATAGAGAGCTCACCTGATACTCAGCCTCATTTAATGGAGAGAAACTGGGAACTCATTTGAGCCCCTTTTCACTTTTGGTCTTTCCGGGCAAATATATGGCATATTTCCACAGAATGTGGGCTACTACCATATAAGTGACGGGAAGGACCAAAAGTGACAGGAAATCCACAACTGAGCACTAATAGTGGAAATTATTGGACATTTTGAAGTAAAAATGAGAATGAACTAATAGGCATGGGGCAAAGAGTGGACCTTTTGGGAGTCACATTCCAAACTTTTGATTCTTTCATAAAAAGCCCATTAAAACCCACTTACTAAAATACCAGTATATGAGAATAAAGGATGCTAATACATATACATGTGAATATGTGACAGGATTATTAGCTAAATATATCCTCAACTATCATCAAATTCACAAATCTATCCCATACTTTTACTTTTATTAAAAAAAAGACTCAAACTTCAATTTTTCTCACAATTACACTTTCAATAGATGAATTAGTAAAACTTAAGAATAAATTCATATTTAAATTTCATATTTTTCACTTCTTTCTAGTTTTAAGTTTACAAATTCGTATTGCTGATATTTTATTGGTATTGATAAATTTGTAATTTTGAAAAAAACAAAGAAGAAAAACATAATTGTTGAAAAAGATGAACTTTGAGTCTTTTTTTGATAAAAGTGAAAGGATAGGATAGATTTGTGAATTTAATGATAGTTTGGGATAAATTAAGCTAATAATCCTATGTGATAAATGACATGTATTGGAAGTGCTATCTAAAGTAATATGTTACCTAATCTTGGATACCAAGTTGCCTTGAAGTAGTCCACAAACTCTGCAGCACATGCAAAACTTTGCATAAAATCTTCAAACATATTTCCAGTTTGTAACCCTTTGCAAATGCAATGTATCATCTCACCCAGCCTTTTTGCTATTTCAGTGCGCAATCCTATTTCTGAACACTTCTTCATTAAATGTTTATGCCATGCATGACGTACACGCCAAAAGCATATTAGCACAGCGCACTGAAAGACGTCTCTGAGTAAAATAACAGACAAATATGCATCACATTCATCACCAAATTAGATCGAAAAATTAAATATAGATGATATGGGCATGACTGGGCAATACGTACTAAAGCTAGGGATATCATTCATTATTATTATTATTAGTTTCCTATTAGTCATTAGCACACTCTTTTTCCATCATGTTCTTCCAATTTGTTTTTCGAACCACTTTTTAAGTGGTAATATTTAAGTGGTTAAGATTCATTTGGAAAGGATGGACCAATATAAAATTACACACCACAAAGGAAATCAGAAGAGTTTTACGATATCCAAAAAGGAAAAGTTGGAAGAACATTTTGGTATAGAGGAGTAATAATAAAATTTATTAATATTAATATTAGTTAACTAGGAGTAAATAGTATTACTCTATTTGGTTAATATTTGTAATATCAATATAAGATTGTTTCTTTTAACACAAAGAAACACATGCTAGTTAATGGAGTTAGAAAAATTAAAATTTGCATCTAACATAGATACATAAATATATAGATTTCGGATCAAATAAAATTAAGTGTTAATGTAAGAAATGAGAATTGATTAGTGCATTGGATGTGAGATCTAATGGCTCCAACAGTGTCAAAAATGCATCACATTGGGTAAAAAAACGTGGTGCAAGTGTGTGTGTGTGTGTGTGTGTGTCAGCTATGCAGCCACGCGATGAACAAATAGCGAATTATTCTTTCACGTTTATCAGTGTAGTCAAGTCAAACACCTGGGCGCTTAAGCGCACCAAACGCAGCGGGCACTAGCCCTAGCGCTTGAAGAACGATCAGGTGCACCCCCACCCCCCCACCCAGTACAAGGCGCAGCTTAGGCGCCAAAGTGCTGAAGCGCTGTAGCAATAAAAGGCGCTCACTATTCGCACCTGACATGAGAAGACGGTTATTTTAAGTTTAATGATACAGTTCAGACATGTGGCCAAATAAGAAGCTCAAATTTTTACTAAAGCCCATCTAGATAAGGTCAAAACAACATAAACCTACACTAAACAACACAATGTAAACCTGTTCTGCTCTCGGCTCAACGTAAACCTTCACCATTCCTTTTTTTATTTTTTATTTTTTCAGCATCTACTTCTTCTCATATACTCTACACAACTTAAAAATATACTCCCTCTGTCCCATAAAATTCTTCCCATTTACCATTTGGGATGTCCAAAAAAATTCTTCTCATTTCACTTTTTGGATAGTTTTGTGTGGCTAACATTCATTTACCTATTTCTTACTCAACCACATACATCTCCACTTTATTCGCACTTCCATAAACTCTGATCCAAGTCAAACTGGGAAGAATTTTATGGGACGGAGGGAGTATATGTAAACTACTAGTATAATGGTCTATCATGTGCAACAATCTTCATTGTGCCGTTTTCTGTCTTCTTTATTTTTTTCAGCATCCTTCTTATATAGTCCATAGGCTCTATATTCTATTACTCTATACAACTCAAGCATTTATATGCATACTAGCAATTCATTTTCTTTATTTTTTCAGCATGTATTTCTTGTTATATACTCTATAAAACTCAGACATACATATGTATACTATCATTCTATCATGTATAAGTTTGTTTCTTCTAATTATTTAATATTTTCAGTATTAATGTTTAAGATATTAAGTTATGAATTCTAAATTTGGTTGTTTAGCTTTTGTAAATCGTGAATTTATTTTGGTTAATCATGACTTTATTTTGGTGAAACATGACTTTATTGGTGAGAAACCTGACTTTTTAATGTAGTTGGTTCAATATGATGTTATATGCATCATGTTTGATTATTGGAGAATAGTATGTGTGATATTGTCTAAGCCATGCACCTGACTATAGTCAGGCGAGCACTTTTTTGTGCCTTGCGCCTTGCGCCTCAGGCGCTGGCAATACCCTATCGCCTTGAGTGCACCTCACGACTTTGACTACCTTGGACTTTTACTAAAGAATATCGTCCGTCATATACAGTGGCAGACTCCCATTTTTGGAGGGCCTCCTACTCATAAGAGCCCAATAAATACAACATGAGTAAAATACATTATGAGTAATTCTTAATAGTTGGAAATCTATTGCTTGCTCATCAAGACCCTAGGGACTAGGGAGTATCATAAATAAAGGGGTTTCTATCCATTAACAATATCAATAGTTTTGGAGTTAATTCCATATAACTTTGTTAATGCCAAGCATCAAAATTCCTGATGGTAAAAACGAGCCCTACTGTGTCAGGGGGGAAATGAAAGATAAAGCAGAAAGAAAATTTTAAGCTTCATGCCCCTTCTCTTCACCTACTCTTCTGAAAAACCAATCTTGCTCAGCGGAATTACCATCTCTGAATTTGCACAGTTTGGTATTTCTCCGAGATGGATTTAAAGTACACAAATGAATAACAGCACTATATTATTGAAAAACAAAGCTTCTGTTCAACTGACACATTAATATATACTCCGACTGTTTCCAAAGTTATGTTTAAAAAAAAGTACTTAACTATTAAACACAACATACTCTAGTCAAATTGAATTACTCTGAGTTTCATATTGTGATTTTATGTAACTAGATATAAATTTATAATTTAAGATGGTCACCTAAGGAAAAAAGTGTTGCATTTGACTATTATGTTTTTCTTAATTATTATACTCAACTAACAAATATTTTTTCATTTAAATATAAAGTCAATATTCACTAATTCATTTAAAGGTACTCATATATCTATTGCAAATCAGTGAATGATGCGAATCACATATATGAATTAACTATGAAGGTCCATCAAGAGAATGTACAAATTTTGTACTGATCCGTGTTTAAAATTAATAACATGGAAGGTTTATAAAGGCAACCTTATAGCCACGATGTCAGTCAAAGGATCATCCACAATGAAACCAGCCAACTTCCATGTAGGATCTTTGGTGCAAACTCTATTATAAAGAGCCCTCATCCATCTGGCAGTGTCTCTACTTGCACATCTTGATGTTATTATCCATGCCACTGGGATAGCCTTGTTGTCTGAATTGAACACAACAAGACTGTGAATTGGATACTGAAAAGATTTGCATAGAGAAAGGGCAGAGTAAGCCATCAAAGATTACAAATTTCTCCCAGGGTTGGAAAACCACAAACACATAGATAGAAATCAGATTTTTTCAAAGGAATCCATGTGGGCAGGAGCTTTAATGTGCCCATGTTATGAAATTTACAAATCAACACACATGGGTCCACTAAACTCGCATGTGACCTACACAGGCCAACATAAGTTAATTACCACACTTTATCATGTGGGCATTTTAAGAGACTGTTTGGTAAGGGTACTGAGAAGAAATGGCACAAAGTGCTGAATTTTATGAGATGATAAGCATTTGGAAAACATGATATCACCCAAATAAGTAATGGGTACTTATTCTGCTGAGAAAAGATTATTAATGCAATCAAACAGGCCCTAGGTGCACCCACATGGGCTCTTTATATTTTCTGAGATAAGACCTTCAGTTTATTCGTTCCGAATTTTGAGTCGGATACAAGAAGTCCATGGTTCCCAAACCGAATCATTTGTTGCAACTGCCATTCAGTTTGAATGCCAAGGACAAAAGGATCAGAATCTGAGAAATCCTTGTAAAAGAAGATTTGATTCTGGTGGCTTTCAACCCACAGGCCAATGCTTATTGCATCATCTTCATCCAGTTCATACGTAGACCGCCTTATGCCCCTCTCTTGCCTTCTAACATACCTGTGGGTTAGAAGGTCATCTCGGTTGCACGGCCCCCCCTGTTTCTCCACTGATTCATTATGCCTCTGCATTATGGTTTCCACAGACACTCCAACATGAAGTAGAGATAACACACGGAGACGGAGATCCTCTGAGATATACGGAGCATACATAGCACGGGTCCCAGCAGATTGCTCATCCTGTGGGCCATGACACAGCAATCCTTTCTTGTCCACGTGTTTATCTTGATTGTATATAATAAGTGCCACGGACGGCTCGGCAATCAGACGTTTGACAATAAAGTGGCATGTGCAACCTCTCTTTGTATTTGGCCTACCCGCAGATTTTTTCTTGGGGACATATGTGCTTCTGCTAGGTCGCACAACACCTCCTTTTCTATGGTCATCTGGTCCAAATGAACACCAGTACCTAAAATTACATGGGTAAAAAAATAAACTGGATTAAAAAAAATGACTACGTAGTAAAAAATTAAGTGATAAATTAAACAATGCACAATAACAAATATTCCCGCTGTTCGTTTTTAAACTTTTTATCATTTGATTTTTGGCATTCTGCACTTGATTTTAGATGTTTTAAAAGTATTCGAGAGAAAGAGAAGTTTTCACTTTAATTATTTCAAAGTCTCAGGTCTCTAACACTTGTTGGCAATAATTAATTGACACTTTTAATAGATACATTAATCAAATAATAATTTTTTAATCATCCAAAGTAAACAATAAATATATTGGAATGATAAACTAATATAATTGAACTCCTTAGTTCTAGTTGTGTATCATAAAGCATCAATAAAAAGGAGGAAGTATTAAGTATTTAGATGTAAATATATTCAATACTCCCGATGTACCAAATTGAGTTGCAAATTTGACTTTTTTGGGTCAAACAGATTCATTTTATTCATTTAACTAGGATATCAATTCTTAATTAAATTTTAATTCGGATTTTTCAATTTTATAGAGATTTCAATATAGTTTTTGAATATGTAAATTTTAATCATCAAAATTGAACTAATTATCAATGGGGAGGATTTAACTATAACATTGGTTGACCAAAAATGTTGACTTTGCGAAACAATTTGGGACGGAGGTAGAATATAAATTTTATGGAAAGTATACAATAATATAGTATACTCCCTCCGTCCTGCTAAGATTGTCTTATCTTTCCTTTTTGGTAATATTTGTGTCGCTCTAAATTGTTTTCACTTTATTCTAACTTTATCAATTCAATATTAACCATAAAAATTCACTTTTCTTGGTAAGCGCACCACATCCTCTTATAACAACGTTAGGGGAACAGAGGTAGCAGTACACATCAATACTCCATGTACATAAGTATACAAAATGGCTTGAGTAGAGCAAATAGAAGATCCTAATGAATAAGCAAATACAAAAATGGTATCTTACAGTATATACTCAAGGATGCCATCAACTTTAGGCTTGTAAGTTGTTTTTGAGGTCCTCCTCCTTCTGGCTTCAACATGGAATTTTGTTGGACATTCTTTATCAGCAGATTCTCCGCGTACAAAGTCATCTACTCTAGCATATGGGATCAGAGCAATTCTATCTATGTTATCACGCCAACCTTCAACCTTAGACCACACAAGGTTAGACGAAGAGAACTCCAGTGTTGGAGGGTTCTGTACAGGGAGGGACAGAATCTCATCCCATCTAGCCATCTGGAAAAGGAAAAATGGAACCAAAAAATGAGTCAAATGGGGTCATGGGAATAATATCAGCATCTGAAAAATGTATCCAATGAATACAGATATTTGAAGTATGATTTTTTAACTGTAGAGTGACAAGTTTCCTGACATTAAAAACATTAATTTTTTCTGCCATTTTGAGATCTTAGGTAAAGATCTATTATCTTAGATTTTTCTGAATGGATCTGGTGACGCATGTGAATGAATCAAAAGCTAAATTTGTAGTTAAAAGCTATATTTGTAGATAAGATGAAAAGTACAAAAAAAACTGTAAAAGTAGTAAGTTGCCTAACAGAGTTTGCTTAGGTTTCAACAAACAACAATATCATTAATTTAACTAAATATTTTAAACAGCTATGAATTAAATCAATTAATGTACTAATCAATGGAATAGAAGAAGGAATGCAGGACTACCAGAACTACGGAAGGTTGGAAGGTGAAAATTGAAAAGGCCCGATTAGCCGAACCGCCTAAGGGTGAGTGGAGGAGTGGAGGCGACCGAGCGACGGGCGTGAGGCGAGTGGGCGACGACAGATGAGGCTTGCTTCGGTTCTGGAGCCAGTCGGAGTGGCGGTGCTGCCGTGCTGCTTGCTGGCGCCTGGCTGACGGCAAAGCCGCGAGGGAGTCGGCGACTTGGCGGGGCGTTCGACCCTTCGACCGTTGGTGGGGTTGTCCGCTACCTTCCTCAAGTTGAATTACTACGCCTTAACGCCTTTTGTTAATTTTGGGCCCTTGGGCTATTGGACCATAAATTTTGTATTAACAATGAAAATTTTATTTCCTTGTCGAGCTAATATTATTTCATTTACAATCTATCAATTTAAGATTATTTCATATCAAATTTTATAAAATTTACTTGTTTCTAAATTTTTTTATTTTATTCTTACATCATTAATTATATATCAGCCACATAAATTCTTAATAACCATACTTCATCCTCATATCCTAATATTAATTGGATTGGAGTATTGGACAAAGTCTAGTAGTTTATAGACTTGCCGCACTCACTACAAGTTTCCCTACGAGCCTCTTTCATATTTTAACTCATTCACATTATTTTGCCTCTTAGATAAATGTAAGGTGGGTTCATCCTAGAACACTCATACCATCTAGTAGGATGACTAGTCATTAATTCTCTGATATAAATGTTACTTGTAACAGTTGTAAGTATATGAAATTCTTATAAAAAAGATTTCTCATCAACATATGAATACATCATTTATATTATTGTACAGTTCACATTTTCATCTGTATTTACTAAATTAGTCTTTTATGTAGTGTCTATCGAAGCCATATTAGTTGTCAGCCCCGCTATTTCTCTAAACACTCTTCCTATGGGGGGCTTGTAACCCTAAGACATTAATTCTAATCAGTATTCATATGCTATTCATCATCTTCCTCCTTCTCTATAGCTCAACTCTCCTTAATTATATGATTGGATGTTTGGATACCCATATTATCGATTCTATTTTCCCAGCGACGAGGGTACTCAACTCTTTCCCATTTTTCGGTTCTATTTGGACTATTTTTCAAAATAGAATTCATTAACATCAGGTGAACTTTCATTAACGACAAGAGTGATTGGAGACAAAAAAAAGATGGTCTAGAGATCGCCACGAGGAGCACCTCCAAGTATTTTTCTTTTAATTTTTCATCTACTTTTGAAAATTAGAGTTATTGTTCATCATCTTTCTCTCGTGATCTCTAGCGACGTTAGACACCAGACCCCTCCACTGATATTAAAATTAAAACACATGAACTACTTTTCTAAGAAATGACGCATGCCTCTCTGTATGAAAATGAGTCGAACAACGTATACCTTTTTTGTACTTTTCCCTTCAAGAAATGAATATTTTTTGCTTTCAATAAATGCAACAATATGACTTTTTCTCAATTCACACACTTTATTTTGAATGTTCAGGGAAAATTATGATTTCCCCATTTTGATTGGACATAATTTTTAGTCCAATCATATATTTTCAGAAGTCCATCATATGCCTCTAAGCTTTAGTTTTTTGTTGAAATTCCCTTAATTTTTAGTCATTTGACCGTTAATTATGAGAAGAGTTGTCTGAAATGCCTTCTATTAAAATTGAACCGTAAAACAAAGATTTAAAGCCACTCTTCGCAAAACATGGGCATATTCTTCTTGCCTTCCTTGTTTCTTAAGTGTTGCTACAATGTTCATCGATCTCCAACATCTAATGAAAACTTAATAAAATTACATTCTATCAATTATTATTACAAAACAAGAGTTTAGAATTCCTCGCAGCACATATACAAACATAACCTATTGAGATGCATCTTAAAAACTTTTGCAAATGCGTAGTTTGCCTATAGTGTGCGCCGACCCGGATCAGACTGAACTTGACCGGAACCAGAACCATTTTCACAAAAAAATAGAAACTGGAAATCTGACTAGACATATTGCGATTTTGACTGGAACCGAGCCGGTTTAATTGGTTCAAATCCGGAACCCGACCGGTTTAACCGGTTTTCTAAATATTAATTATTTTAAGAAAAAGTACAACTAATTTTCCGATAAAGATGGAGTATTTATTATTAATAATGTTAATATTATTACTATATTTATCTACTAATTTATATTGATTAGTTTTAGAGATGAAAGACAGAATAAATGGGTGAATATAACTTTAAGATAATATATAATGTAATCATTTTTATTTAGATTATTATTATTATTGTTATCATTATTTTATAGTTATTTTATACGGATGGAGTGTTAAAGTATTAATTACTATATATTAAACCATAATTGTATTTTTAATAACTGAAAAGTGGACCGGATACATTCCAGTTCGGTCCGCTTTTTCCGGTCCGGTCCGGTTTTCCGGTTTGAACCGGTTTGTATACACCGCTAGCAGCAGCAACAACCCCTAACAACATTTTGGTCCTTGAAGTCAAGTATTGCTTCTAGAGATGCAAAAGGCGAGGAGTTGACCAAATTTATTTCCAACTCACTTAGCTTTTGCCATTTTCGAAGCAATTGAATAAACAAGAGTGCAACAATTCGCAAAACTTCAATCTTGCAACTTAGTTGCTTGGAAAATTCATGTGAAAAAAGAGACGGCTAATAGAGGCAAAATTTGTCTAAACCTTAAAGTTTCAGTCGTTTGTACAAAAAATGTACGCAAGGAAGCTTTCTGTAATTTCCATATAGTTCTAGAGCTATCCTATATGTATATTAATACTAGCATGTCGCGTGTCACACGAGGGTTGATGCCCAAAAAAAAATATAATCGATGTAAAGAGCGCAAGTTATTCAACCAAATCAACGTAACTAAATGTAGTACAAAAGAAACACGAAATAAACAAAAATTACTAAAGATTGAAAAACAATAACAAAATTCGCCCATGGAATCATAAAACAAAGTATTTATATTCAAAAAGCATCAATTGAAATTTAAAGATACAAAATAAAAGAAACCGGCATAAAAAATGATTGATTACTTAAAGATACAAAACGCTGACATGTTTTTCATGATCTATGGATAAAAGCTACTATTATAAACTTATTTATTTTGAGAAGAAGTTAATTCTAATAGATTAACTTATTTTGAGAAAAAGTAAGTTATAAAACTGGAAAACGGAAACCACTTCAATAATTAATTCTAATAGATTAGATTATTACAAGCTGATCTGCTGATTTGAAGCGTGAGATGTCATCTCCGTAAGTTTTTCCTAGCGCACGACCTCAATGGGCAGCTAGGGTTTGTTTTCCGACGGCCGGTTTAATCTGCAGTGTCCGGCGTGTTTTGGGTTGCGCCTCTTATCGGCGGCAATATCCTTCTGGCTACTGATAGGAAGTTCGGAAGAACAGAGCTGGTCTCTTACTCGATATCAAGGCAGCAACTTTGCGAGTACGCATATAGGATTGGGGTTCGCATCAGATTGGAAATTATTCTTGGACGGTTTGATCATGGGAATTCTAAGGAAGGCTCTGATTCGGACCAGTGTTTCGTACCAGTCTGGAATTCTTTCTTGCACGGGCTGATCGAGGAATTTTGCAGGCGATTAGGTACAAAGGCAACATGATAGAGATTTCTTCTGCACCTCGGACATGGTTTTCAATGGCAAACCTCAAGAAAAAAATTGGTGAGCGCCAGAAAGATAGAGTTTCAGACGAATTTTCCAGAGGTTGAAATTCTTTTCTCTCATACTACTGCAGGTCGTCCGCCTCCGGAACCAACTCCGAGCAAAGAAGTATTTTGGGGAAAGTTTCTATTTTCGTATTATTTTTCCTTTAGCAGTACTTGTTTTTATTTCCGTTCGAGCAAGTATGGTTTGAGTTTTTTATTTTGATGAACTTTAGATAGACAATGCTTCATTTTCGATCGTTTTAGGCTTATTCTTGCCCGTTTTGTGTCTAGCGAGTCAAGTTGCTTTGTACGGGTTGCTGACTCCAAGCCTATTCCTGGGGCTTACGATCGGATCTGTAATAGCTGTCTGGATATTGGCTTGCATGTTTGCTCTATTTTAATGAAAGCCGTTTTGATGATAAAAAATTTGGAAAACGGAAAACAAAAAACGTGTTTACCAAAAACAATTGATGGAAAACTGGAGAAAGGAAAACAGAAAAATGCGTTTAGCGAATCGTTTTCCAAAACCAAAAATGAGACTTGTCTTTATTTTCCTTACTGAATTGAAGAAGTGACTTTTACTAGTTATCCAAATTTGAAAAATGTGAATGTGGCAGTGCCACTGCAATGAATTTGCATACTTACGCCTAGTGTTAGATCTGATCCAGCCCTGGTTTTCTGGTTTTAACCGGTTTGTGCACACCGCTAGCAGCGACAGTAACCACTAGCTACATTTGGGTCCTTGGAGTCAAGCATTGCTTCTAGTGATGCCAAAGGTGAGGAGTTGACCAAATTTATTTCCAGCTCACTTAGCCTTTTCCATTTTAGAAGCAATTGAATAACAAGAGTGCAACAATTCGCCTAAACCTAGTCGCTTGGAGAATTCATGAGAAGCAAAATTTGTCTAAACCTTAAAGTTTAAGTCGTTTGTACAAAACAAATGTACGCAAGGAAGCTTTTTGTAATTTCCATATAGTTCTAGACTCATCCCTATATGTATATTAATACTAGCATGTGGCGTGTCACGCACGGGTTGATGCCCAACAAGAAAATATGATCGATGTAAAAAGCGAAAGTTATTCAACAAAATCAACGTAAGAAAATGTAGTACAAAAGAAACACGAATAAGCAAAAATTATCAAAAAGTACTTCAAATGATGGAACTAAAAATTGAAGGCAATAATAAATATCGCCTATGGAATCATAAAACAAAGGATTTATATTCAAAAAAACATCAATATATGGAAATTTAAAGATACAAAATAAAAGAAACCGACATAAAAAATGATTGGTTACTCAAAAGTTAGTATTATAAACTTATTTATTCTGGAGAGAAGTTTTGATATCTAAAAGTAAGTAGTATTATAAACTTAAGGCTAAAGGGTCAAATAGGCTCTTGAACTAGCTTAAAGTGTTCAATTAGCCCCTTATATAAGAGGTTCAGCCCGGCCATCGCCAATTGGGCAGGTTCCTGTTGGAATTTTTTGATGAAATTTTTTGAGCTTCTTCTTTATTAAGTCTAGTTTACCCATACCAAATTTCAACTAAAAATTCAACCGGAAAGGCAGTCAAATGATTTTTTGAAGATAATTGTGCAGTTAAACAGCGCAGTACATTTCGGAAAATCATTTGACTGCATTCCCGATTTAATTTTTAGCTGAAATTTGATATGGTTAAACTAGACTTAAGGAAGAAGATGCTCAAAAAATTTCATAAAAAAATTCCACCGAGAACCTCCCCAATTGGCGATGGTCGGGCTGAACCTCCTATATAAGGGGTTAATTGAACACTTTAAACTAGTTCAAGGGCCTATGTGACCCTTTAGCCTAAACTTAATTATTATGGGGAGAAGTTATGATATTTAAAAGTAAGTTATAAAACACTAAATGTTAAAAATGTTAATTATGTTTTTCCTAGTTTAATAAATAAAATATAGTATGTAACATACATCATTGCATAGTTCTAAAAAAATGTATTTTTAAAAATAAAGTTACCTCCATCAAATACTCGCGCGCGAAATAAATACAAAGCGTGGTGTAGCACTGCGTTAGGTTAATGCAGCTCCGCTATGTTTTTCTCTCCATTTCACATTCATTTCTCCCCCCCCCCCCCTCTACTCTTATCTCATTTTTTTGAACCCGGTGAGCTTCCAAAACCCTATGGTTTTGGGACGGGGGCCAGGGAACACCCCATCAAATTTATTTAGACAAAACAAAGGTACATAGTAGGAGGACTGGACCAAGGCCTACCCACATAAAAAACAAACTAGATAGTGTAAGGGAAACTAGTAGCATCAAACTTAAGTATGCCTACAAAGTGGTGGTTTTGATAGACATGCTTGTATAAGATAAGAACTCGGCCGCTCTTTTGATCTTTGGGTCAACGTGAGAAATTGTGTTGTATATTTTGAGCTTAGTTTTGATGATGTGGATTCACTGCCAGTATTGCTAATGTTGGAGTGAGAGCCCCGATAGTCCTTCATACACATCTTTTCTCTATCTTACTCACCAACATACCCTACCACATCCTTAAAAAACATAGCCTACCATAATTTCCCTCCTCTCTATCTCTTCGTCCAACTCGTAGTATCTAGTCACTCGAGAGGATCCAAATTCAACGCTGTGTATTTCCATTTTGATAAAATGCCAAAAAATGAGTTCTCCAACTTAAGAAGAAAATTAGAATAAATATGTAAACATGTTTTCTATTTTTTAATTTTCCAATTTTCTAGAAAAATAGAAAATATTTGTGGTAGTAAAGGCATTAACATTTAGACCAAATAACTTAAGTAGGGGTGGGCACGTTTCGGGTTTGCCGAACCCGTACCGTGATTATTAAAATAATCAAGTTCAGTTCGGTCTTAGACCTAAACCCGTTTGACACGGTTCCCTTTTAAAACAGCTCGATATCATGCCATATATATCAAGAAAAATGGCCTCTATATTACTACTAGAGTTTTCATTTCCATAAATATGATAACTTTTACATTTTCCAGAAATATGACTCGTTAAAACACTCCAACGGCAAGCATTGTGCGTATTTTCGTCTTCCCGTCTTCCCCCAACAAAAGTCGTCCCATCTTCTATGTTCCCATCGAAGCAACATCGAACCAGAGGCAAAGCGTTCGCCTCCAGCAAACTTGGAACCAAAGGCAAAGCATCCGTGTCCCTGCAACGCCGCTATCTCCACTAGGTCAGCCAAAACGTGAGTCGTCGTGACCTCGTCCCAACCGCCCCTTCCATTCTAGAAGCTTAAAGAACAGATCTGGTCCACTTTCCATCCGATTCGTTTTGATTTCCATTCGATTCGTTTCCGTCCTCATTCGATCCGTTCATCATCATCTTCGTCCTCACTCTTCTTCTTTTATTTCTTCTCGTTCAATGATGGTACATCTAGAGTCTGACGGCTAGGTTTTGGGATGCGATGAAGGTAGGGGATGGGATCTAGGAGACTAGGAGGGGATCTGAGTATAGCAGGGAGACGACTGCAGGGGTTTGGGGCTAGGGTGGGGGCAGGGGAGCAGAGGAGGGGGGTTGGGCAGTTGGGGAAGGGACCGACTTCAGTGGTATCCGGCGGTGGCCGGACGTGGTGGTCTCCATCGATGGTCGGAGGGTGCTGGTTGTGGGGCTGTGGAAGGGGGGTGGGATTGGGGGATGGTGCAACGATCGTGCAGGATTGGGTCGACGTGTAGTGGGGCCGGGGCTGTGATGTACTGGACCTGGGGTTCTGTGGGGATGGGGTACGGTGGCTGGCCGGAGTAGTTCGATGGGGAGTTGGTTGGAAGCTGGGAGGGGCTGGGGATGGGGAAATGAGTCAGGGCTGGGGTGGCGGCCTGGGGCGGCGGCGGCGACTGGGGGTGGCTGAGTAACTGTGGTTAGTGGGCCAGAGTCACCGTGGCTGATGGGTGGGTAGTCACTGTGACCGGTAGGTGGGGCAGTCACAGTGACTAGAGTCATTGTGGCGGCGGAGTCACTGTGACGATGGAGTCACTGTGACGACGGAGTCACTGTAGCGGCAGGTCACTGTGGAGGCGGGTCACTGTGACGGCGAAGTCACTTTGACCGGAGTCACTTTGCATTGTAGGGTTATTAATTGTGATGTTAGGTCACATTTTTGGAATTTTGAAAAAGATGACACATTTTTGTCTTTTAACATTTTTTAGTCAAGTTTAGTAGGCGACAAGCGAATGGTTGTGCCCATGCTTTGGCTAAGACATCTACTATGTATGCTTCTTGCAAGCAATTTTTATTTATCCCCAGTTGTATTCTGAATGTTATCAATAATGTAATGCAGTAAGTTTTTCTCTTTAAAAAAACATTTTTTAGTCAAACAATGCCACTTTTTCTAATTGTTTATGGATATCAATTTTTATATTAAATACTTAATCCCAAAACATTAGTTTGAGATGTACAAAAACATAAATCCCAAAACACAAGTCCACAAAAATGGTATACATGTATGTTTAAATCATACTCCCTCCGTCCCATTTATTTTGTCCCGTTTTACCTTTTCGGGAAGTCCCACTTATATTGTCTCATACCATATTTGACAAAGTTTGTGTGGCTCTAAATCATTCTTACTTTATTCTTACTTTATCAATTAATATCAACCACACAAACTCACTTTTCTTAATAACTGTGTCACCCTCTTCCGGAACAATATATATGGAACGGAGGGAGTACTTTGGAAACGGTACGATTCGATTTTATGAGAACTGATTAGAACCGGTTTGAGAGCTATTTCAAACTTTATTTTTTGGGTTAGACATCATACCGATCCGGTTCCATACGAGTCGATTCGATATTTTTCTAACTCCTAAACGTAAGAGATGACACATGACCATCCTAGATTCCCAGGTAGTAATAATAATTAATTAAACAATTCGTTAATTAAAGGTAGAGCCGTAGAGGACGACTTTTGGTTAACCACTGTCATCGTGAATCACATCACAGGCATTTGTATTATACGTCACCACCCACGTCAAAATTCTGCACCGTCGATTTCCGTCGATATAAATAGAGATATAAATTGAAATGGTTAGATACTGAAAAATACGCGCAGTTCACTTTACTAATACCTTCAAAATATATAGAAATGGTGGCTAAGTTTGGTTCCACCCCAGGAAACGAAGCCGACGACGTGGCCGTGGTGATGGTGCCTCTTCCAGCACAGGGCCATCTCAACCAGCTACTCCACCTCTCCCGCCTCATCTCCGCCCAAGGCATCCCCGTACACTATGTCGGATCCTCCGCCTACATCCACCAGGCCACGACCCGGGTTCACGGTTGGGACCCACTAAAAGCTACCAGCCTCCATTTCCACGAGCTCCCCACGCCTCCGGCAGAGTTCCAGAGTCCGCCGGCGCCAGTTCCCGACACCACCACGAAATTCCCTTCCCAGCTGATGCCGGCGTTCCTCGCAACAGAGCATCTCCGGCGACCTCTTACAGATCTAGTCGGTGAAATGGCAATATCCAAAAGAAAGGTAGTCGTCATCGCCGATTCTTTTATGGGTTGGGTGGTGCAAGACTTGCCTTCCGTCGTACCCAAGGCGGAGGTCTATCGTTTCCGTTGTCTTTCAGCTTTCTGCTCTGGTTCTTACATCTGGGAAGCTGCCGGAAAACCTGAAATCGGGCCGGGTTCTGAAATTCTAAACTTTTTGCCGTCTAGGGAGGGCACTGTGTCGCCGGAGTTTGACGAGTTCGTAAAAGTACAGAGTGGGTGTTGGGTTTTAAGCTCGGGGGATATTCTAAATTCCAGCCGTGAAATAGAAGCACCCTTTATTGATTTTCTAGCGACGGTATCAAATAGATCCCAATTTGCTATCGGTCCATTCAACCCGATTTCTCTAAGCAGCTCAATCGACGGGAAGAATCGTCACAGATGCCTGAAATGGCTGGACGGGCAGGAAAAAGACTCTGTTTTGTTTGTATCATTTGGGACGACGACTTCACTTTCCGGCGACCAAATAACAGAGCTGGCCATCGGGCTGGAACAGAGCATGCAGAAATTCATTTGGGTGCTCAGAGACGGTGACGGTAGAGAAGCCATCAACGGCGGTAACGTCGTGAGGCCGGAGCTGCCGGAGGGGTACGAGGAAAGAACGCGGGAAAGAGGTCTGGTGGTCCGAGATTGGGCCCCACAGCTGGAGATTCTCGGCCACGCATCAACCGGCGGTTTCTTGAGCCATTGCGGGTGGAATTCGTGCATGGAGAGCATTTCCATGGGAGTGCCGGTGGCGGCCTGGCCGGTGCACTCCGACCAGCCGAGGAACGCCGCCCTGCTGACGCGTGGGCTGGGGATCGGAATCAGCTTGATGGACTGGGAACGGCGGGGTGAAGTAGTGGGACGGGAAGAAGTTGCCGAAGGGGTGAAGAAGCTGATGGCGTCGAAAGACGGGGAGGAAATGAGGCGGAACGCCGTCAAAGTGAGTGAGAGCGTGAAAAAGTCCGTCACATCCGGTGGCGGCCGCGACGAATTTCAGGCCCTCATTGCTCAGATCACGAGGTAGATAGGTTTTCAATTTCATAGGGAGTACTAGGTACTCGATTGCTTTTTTTCTTAATAAAGCATTCCAAGGTAGTTGCATTGCTGGCTGGGGTATTGCTGTTGGGATGTACACACAAGTCATAATGTATTCACTGTCTTTGTACCAATTTAGTCAAATAAAATTGCCCTTTTTTGTTAATTTATGTCTTAACTTAACCCAAAAAAATCTATTATCTTTGTTACATAAACATCTTCCCATTTTTTCAACCATAACTAAATAATTTTCACATCATAGTCTCAATATTTTTAAAAATAATACTCCCTCCGGTTCTAAATAAACTTCACACTTTCCTTTTCGGGACGGTCCAAAATAAATTTCACACTTCCTTATTTCCTTATTTGGCAAAGAAATCTACATCAAAACAGTGTCAAACAGTGTCAAACAGTGTCTCAACAGTGCCAAACAGTGTCTCAACAGTGCCAAACAGTGTCTCAACAGTGTACTCTACAGTAAAGTCAACTTTATTTCCTTAATAACTGTGAAGTCAAACACCGAAGTTTAAAAAGAACCGGAGAGAGTATTTCTTTTTGGATTTATCCTTCATTACGCCACATTATTTTTCATCATATTCTCAATAATTTAATAAATTTATATCTCTTGTCACTATTCATAATCACACCCACTTCACTTTTATGAATGTTCGGACATTTTGGATTAGGGGTGGGTATATCTGTTTTCGGTTTGGTTTTTATCGGTTTTGGTTCGGTTCAGTTTGGAATGAGCTAAGAGAATTATTACCATACTATTCTTCGGTTTGGTTCGGTTCCGTTTGGATTTGTTAATTTTTTAATAATAAATGAAGGTTCGATTGAATTTCTTTAGTTTGGTTCGATTTTGTTCGTTTTTAATCGATTTCGGTTTGGTTTAATACGGTTTGAAAGAAATTCTACCAAACTCAAATCAAATTGCATACGGTTCGATTTTGGTTCAAATTTCTATATTCATAAAATATAAATTTGTACAGTATTATACAATAGAGAGATACAAGAGGCTCCCAACACAAAAGAAGTACTGTCATCTTCACATATCTATTGTATAATATAGATTGCCCATTATGCTAAACATGAGACTCTCATATTGAAGGTTTTTCATCATACATTTTCTATTCTAAGTTGAATTAGGCATCGGTGTTTCTAAACTTTGAGATATCAAATATTTGTCTAATATTTCACTTTATTAGGCATCCATGTTTCTATTCTAGTTTAAATATTATGCATCCACCTTGAGGCATTCATGGCACTTTTGTCTGTTTCTTTTCTGAAAAGTACTTGTATGTTGATGCACTGAATGCTCTACCAGCTAGTTACCAACACCCTTGAAAATTTGACTATCCTCTATCCCTATCAGCATAGTAGTTTGAAGTGTCATATCGCGGTCTCCTATTTTTTCGTTTTAAATATAGACTCTTGTTTCTCTTAAGTTAAACTAAAAAGTGAAAAGAAATTATAAATGGAAATATTATCTATCAAGACACTGCACATTGACAATCAATAAAAAGGAATAGAAACAAGTATTAAACTATCACACGCATATATATATGGAATCTACAAAGTTCTTAGCCTTAATTGGTCCTATTTATATTTCAGAAGAGTCTTAATATTACATGCACCGTCTTACATGCCTCAGGAAGAAGATGAAGGGGAAGTGTGTCGGCGCGAGTTTTCACCCTGAGTAAAGCTCATTACGAAGCAAAGTTCAAAAACACTTGAGATTTGAGAAGCATTAAAAAGATTAAAAATGTATTTTGTATATGTATGTTAAACTATTAGGATCAGAATAAAGCAAGCAAATTTAATTTGAAAGATCAAGTTTTCCTGTCATTTCCTTAAGAAGTGATTTCACTTCTATATTTCACTTTAAAGAACATTAACATACTGTTTTTACTTGTCTTCATCCTTGTGAGTATAGATAGCCTCTCATTAGTCTAATTGTCTAAAATAAGAAATACGTAATAATTGATAATATTATAATCTTAAGTGGTTTTACCATTCATATCCTGAACTTCAAAGACAAAGGGATTTTTTGTAATCTTTTACAGTAGCATGGAAGAATTCTTTTTGTAATTTTTGACAGGAGACATATTAGATGGCAAGGGTAAAAGCAGTGTTCTAAAAGGCTCAGAAAAGCACCGCCTAGGCGCGCCTAAGCTTGATGCGTCAACCAAACACCTCGCCTGCCCAATAGGCGTGCATAAAGGCGCCTTCTTTGCATAGGCGTGGATTTGAGTCGCCATTGCAACACGCTGCTGTTAGAGTTGCATGGAATGTATTATATAATGAATTTGGAAGGAGGAAGTATCAATTTGTCCGGTGTGGGATAATGAATTCGAAGTACTCCGCAGTCCGCATACAAGGTTGCACCTTTCCATTGCCAACTCCGCATTGCCAACTCGTCCGGTGTGGGATACAAGTGCAAATGACTTTTTTAAACTAATATCCTAATTCAAAGCAATCTTCTTTATTTGTAATTATTATTATAACTATCCTTACTGAGTACAAGTATTTTTTTCATCAACCAACTCTTTTTAATTATTACGGATTATTAACTATTTTTTTCATCAACCTATTATTTGTGCTTTTGAAAATTTTATTTCTATTAAAATATAAAAAGGGTTTTTTTCTAAAATATTACTAGTAAAAAAAATTCATGGAAAAAATATAACTTTGTAACTATTAATTACTATAAATGTATTCAAAATTACATCGCAATGGCTACATGTGTGATCATTGTTGTGTAACTTTCAACACAGTTATAATACATAATACTCGGTAGTTATTAAGTCATATTTTTTTCCTTGATTTTTTGTAAGTAATATTAGTGGAACTTTTTCATATAAAAAATGTAATCTTTGTATGTGATATTATGTAATATTACCATATACATATGAAATGATAGTAAAAAAATTAAAATAATAGTAAAAAACTAAAACGCCTTTTCACGCCTAGGCCTCGCCTAAACCCGCCTAGGCTTCAAAGGCTTTGGGCTTGATCGTGCCGCCTCGCCACACCTTACGCTTTTTAGAACATTGGGTAAAAGGCTTACCTTGAGAACTCAGGCAGGAGTAAAAGAGAAGCTCTGCCAATAGGGGTGGCAACGGGTCGGATTTAGACCGGGTGGAAGCTCATCCCCGTCCACCTGTTAATTTTTCATAATCCATCCACCCGTCCATCATCCATTAAATATTACATCCACATCCAATCCATCCATCATAAACGGGTTGTCGGGTGGATCGGGTGAGTAGCGGGTGAATATAACTTATTTAACTTGAAAGACAAAAAAACAATTTATGAGGAGAAATCATAATAATTAAAAACCAAAAATTAAGAATTCATTGAATAACAACAAAAACTTGAGCAATTAAATATATTACAATCATTAATTCACTTCGTATAAAGGAAAATTGATTGTCAAACAAAATAGATATAAAACTTCTTCAAGCTGCCATTCTACATTTTGCATCGGCACAAAATCATTTTTGCAGTTCAACTGTCACTTCTTGAAACTCTCCAATTGTCTTTATTAAACCAATTCATAGATATGTGTCTTCTCCATTAAAAAATACATATATATTAAAATGTTAATATTAATTATTTTATATATTATTAATGAATATTATATATTTATATGTGGGTTAGCGGGTGGGTGTAAGGAGCGGGTGACGGGTCGGGTGATGGGTTGGATGAGTGTTCATCCACACCCGATCCAACTCATCTTTCAACCCACCCGTCATCCATTTTTCATCCATACTTTTTTGGGTTTTCGTCCATATTTTCGGTTCAGGTTGACCGGGTATCCGTGGGTGCAGGTGATATTGCCAGCCCTATCTGCCCAGGGGGAACCATTGAAGGTGAGAGTTCTTTCTCAGATGCCCTAACTCGCGGTTTACAAGGTTAAGAAAGAATGGAGAGCAACTATCAAGCTTTAATTTCAGATGAATAATCAATTATCATTAAAATAAACAAAACTGAAATGAGTAAAACGGGACATCCGAATATGGTAAAACGGGACATTTAAAAGGGGACGAATGGAGTATTATTTTGTAGAGTTATTTTGTAGAGATATCAATGAGTAAGAATACTAGTTGTTACACAACTATTTCATTTATTGCTACATGCGGTACGAGCATAGGTGCAAATGTGCAATGAAACATTTCTTCTTAATAATTGTTTTCTTTTCATTTTTAGATTGTTAAAATTAATTTACTTATGTACTGTTAAGTATTTATTAGCTTAAAATTATGATTGTTTGTGTTAGTGGTTTAATGATGAAAAATGGGAGTGATGAAATATATTTTTACTATGTATTTCTTAACACTTGGCTAATACTACGTAACATACAAGAATCGCACTAATATGATATTTTTGGTTCTTAAACCGGTTCTTCAAAAAATTCTAGAACAAAACCGATATTGAATTAACGGTTCCTAATTTCTATTCGAGAACTGAACCGATCTCACTCATACATTTTTTCGCAAGATGATATATAAAAATAATTGTATTTATTTATTTAAGTTTATCTTGTGTACCAGACTGTCAGTATTGATGTAGAAACTCCATGTCAAGTTATATTTATTGTAAGACGATAAAAAATCAAATTTTAATTTACAAACCTTGCATATCGAAACCATCTCCGTACCCACCTCACAACCTGGTACTAGTCAAGAACTAGTTGATCAGTTTGTGATTCCGTGTAAATAATTACTCCCTCCGTAACTTTAAAATCTTCCCATTTTAAAAGTAGGTAGATTTAGAATAGTGAAAGATGATATGAATTATTGGGGGTAAAATGGGAAAATAGTGGAATAATGTGGTGAAATGTAGGATACATCCAAAAAAAGTAGTTGTAATAGTGTATTATTTTAAAAATTATTGAGGGTATGATGGGAAATTTAGAAATGAGAAGATTTTTGTGTTACAGACGAAAAAGGAAAGTGAGAAGATTTTTAAATTATGGAGAGAGTATTCAATTTCAATCTGATTCTTGTTCCAGATCTCTGTGTACTTGCAAGCAGTAAAAGACGAATGAAAAAGTTTACAAAAATCTTTGAAGAAGGGAAAAGACATTTGCCGAGAACTGATGTACTAAATTCGATCGTAATTGCCACACATTTTATGACTAGCGATTACTCGCGCAAGGCG